CAACCGTGAAGGTACCGGCTATTGTAAAGAAATCGTTTACGCGTTCGCGATGTTCCTCGAATTCATTGAACGAACCTATTTATATTCACTGCAATTCTGCCTATCTATTTACCCGATCTGTTTAAACGAACGTATCCTTACGTGGTCGTTAAGCGCGATGCAGTTCGCATTAAAGCTGCAATGGTTGCGAAATAGGAGCTACCTACGTGCAATGGCTCTTTCCGCGGCAAGCATTTACACGAGACTTGGAATCACCTGCCACCCCCTCGCACATACACAACACGATAATCGGTTCGCATATATGTACATATCGCATATATTAACTGCATAATAATGATATTAACGTTCGTCAATCCCTCGTGAATGTTAGACTACATTTTGCCAGTAAGCATTATGGAAACATCGAAATTCTAAACTACTGGATTCTTCGTTGTTTTGTCAATTGAAGAACATTTGTAAAGGAAATTGTATATAATAATTGAAATTTTTTAAGTCACTTTATTAACACTGGACAACTGCACCCGTCAAAATGACGGGTCTCAGTTTTCTCATATAGCAATGTTATTGATACTTTAACATTTTGCCTTTCAACTACCAGACTGACTGGCATAACAAATAAAGACGATCCACTCCAACTACCGGCTCTACTGTCAATATTTTCTTTTCTAATTATGCTAATAACGATGAATGTATTTCTGGCACCGTTACTTTGATAAGAGTCTTACACGTGTTCACTCATTATTTGGTGTGAAAACTGGTGCATTTTTTCAAAGTATTGTGATTTACAAAATATTACCTAAAAGTCCCTGTAGTAAACTACATATCTGCAGACGCGAAAAATTTCACACAGCGCAGAGTTAAAAGCGTTAAATAACCGAAATTATTTGAAAAATAACTAGTTTCACTTCAATAGTACAGGGTAATTCCGGGTGAGATGACCCGATTTCTTTTTGATTGTCAAACATCTATATTTTCAATTGTTTTTAACGGTATATTGAATCTTGCACAGATGCTTACTTAACTACTCTTCCACGTGTAATTTACTTTCATAAATATATATTGTTTTGTTAGGTATTAACAAAATGTATGATGTAATAATTCTTTCAAAAAAAAATGAGCCATCTCTCCCCGACTTACTCTAATTAGTATATGAAAAAACCGATAAAAAATCTTTTATTACAATTTATATAAAGATTACATATTAATTATATGAAATGCTCGGTTGCTCTAATGTTAAGAATAATTTGCGGAATTTATGCATAAACTGGAAATCGAATACAGTTTGAATTATACTGCACTAATGCTTATAAATGCTGGTTTAGTAATCATCATATTAAATATATTATTATAACATATTATTATACTGTGCCTTTTTCGTGATATTATTTCACTTCAATTTTCTCTTATTGTTTATAGAAGCGTATAAAGATTGGACAAAATATTCATCATCAGTTACTGGGATAAAATTAATTTTACACTGAGCTGGTTTAACAAATAGACCAAATGGAATATTACTGGCAATAATAAGCTGTTCAGAATATTGTATAATTCAGACTAGCTCGTGTGGCAGAAGTGCATTACGAGGAAACCAGATAACGAAAGAGCAAAAAGGAGTTCCGTGGAAGGAAATCGGCCATTGTCCCTGCCAACTCCATATTTCTGCGAATGGCTGGCTGCCAAAAATGCATCCGCGCTTGTTCGTTATTACGCTGAACCATTCGAATTTTAAAAACGCTGCTCGTTTGCTACCGGTGAAGCATAACAAACGTATCTGCAGACGATTAGATATGAAGACAGATCATGAATATCCATCTGGGTTTCACAGTGTTAGCCTTTTTACTATAGAGATAGTAGAGAATTCTCGGTCAACATTCGTTTCTCTTTTAACCCGTATAATATCATACCAGACTTGCGATGAAGATTTCAATCGTAATTTAACAAATATAAATGTTATTCGATTCTTTTGTATTCAAATTAAATATTATTTTTTCCTTATTAATTACTATACTTTAGGACAAACATGGACATAGAATATGTATAGTATTTGCTTTCTATAAATTATTCATGACAAAGTAGTTGCATTGATCACAGTTGAGAAATAAATTTTAAGGCTAGGGGTTTATATTATGTAATAGAGCAAAATATGGCATAAAGATACTGCATTCATTTTTTATTCTCTTCTTGATGCTTCTTTTTTTTAAATTAGTCGTAATTCTAAGTTCAACGATTGCTTCAAGATTAAGTAAACGGGAAAGGTAGAGAATACCAGTTATAATGCAGACATAATATTTGAAATGTTCCAAAACTGTTTAAAGGGATGTTTTATTAAAAGACATTATTCAACTACTTCTTCAAATTTTTATAATGGAAATGTATCAGTTTATGCTTAAATGCTCTCTTTAATCCACTGAAATTGAATTTAATCTGATATAATATTGAACGAATTAATAATACGATAATTATTATATTCCTAACAATAGAGACATCCTTGTTCGAAGTGTATTTTGAAACAATGCTTCGTTAGACTTGACATTCGGTCAAACATCGAATCACTGTTTTGTTCGATCCATGTCAATTTACGTGTAACAAAAACGCATATGATGAGGAGTATTTACACGTAAATGTTGGAAACAGCATATGCAAACGGAACACATTTAAAACTGCAATCGGAAAATCATCGAAAATAGAAACTACCATTACGATCAAAATATAATCCTACAGGAAACATATTCATTACAACATTATACATATTGACTTGCTAATTATCATATAGCAATATTAATATAACATACCGATTACATAATAATTATAATTGTATAATAATCAATCTATACCAGGAAGAGAAAACTATTGATCCCGATACAATCAAATATAAAACTTTCCGAAAATAGATTAAACTATTTAAAATATTCTTTGCACTCCCGCGTAATTGCATCAAATAAGCAAGACCAACGAATCCGTTTAAACGTTAAATAACGTTTGTTCAAAGCAGAAATTCAACGTTAATTTCCACGGGCTGGTGGATCCGAAAGAATAACGCGAAAAACAATCCTTGGCTTTTGATTAACGTGACAAAAGGAAGTAGCGGGAGTAATATCCGCAGCGTCGCTCGGATCTATTATTAAACAAAACTCCGTGTTCAAAGGGGGAAAGTAGAAGAGTGGAATTTTCAACACCGAAGGAAACAAAACGCTTTTTGATACGTCCCCTCCCCACCCCATGCTCCAACTCTCCGCATTATAAAATGCCGAAACGGTGTCACCAGCGTGCGTAACAATACGTCTCCGCGATGACTGGCCCAGATTTACGCGAACGCAAGGAATTCCAGCTCCGGGGCTGAATATCATTCCCTACCCCTGTTATGAAATTCTTCTTCCAGGTTTCACGTACACATGTCTGGTGAATTTAGTCTTCGACACTTTATTGCTTGTAACAGTGAAAAGCGAGTTCCCCTTAATTCCTTTAAGAGTAATGCAATTTTCCATGGAACGAGGGAAGTGAAAATGTCCTTTGTGGAAATACTTTCCTGTTGTTAGTTGCAAATTGTTGACTTTTCCTAAACAAATTAGTTAAATTCACTGCTTGCTTCGTTTATCTTGTGTTTGGAATTGTTAAATTGGTTTTCGGAGTAAAAGAGGAAAATTTTAAAGTTTCATTTGGTAGTATCCATTTTTAATCACTTTTTCGTTTTGACGGATTATAGAGATGTACGAGAATTATTTATCTAGATACGTAGTTTATGTGTACAAAGGTAAACGTATATAAACGTTATATAGAAACTGAAAATATTTTTCAATACATTTGAAAAGAGAAATAGTTCTTTCGAAAGTCTGCATATTGAATTTTGTTGAATGTTTTTATTCTTTTAATATTGTAATTTGAATGCAGTCTGAATGTTTTGTGCAATTTCTAATAATTCCCAAAATACTGGATAAAATAATCATATTTGTCTACAAATAAAAATGTTTGAATAATTACATTGATTGTTATTTATATTTCCGATTAATATTTCCAGTCACTAGTTTCTATAAAGTAAAGACTATCAATTCGTGTCTTGCGAACAGTGTTTGAAAATTGAGAGACGTGAATTCATGTTTCTAATCAAGAATGTGCTAAGAACTGCGTATATTCATTTTCTAAAAGGTGAGAGTAAAGTGGACATGTCCGTTACCCTGTTGCGCCTGCCCCGGTAGCTGAGTCAGTAAGATAATCCACCCCAAGGAACTCTTTCCGGTGTTCCGTGAATGTGCGTGCGTGATAGGAACTCATAAAACGGGGCTTCTCCCCTCCCGAAAATCACAAATGCGTACAAAATATTAAGAATAAACTGACTATTCAGGGGAGTCGGTGCACTGCTTTATTGTCTCCTATTGATTAGTTGTTTCCTTGCTATATCTTGATGCGTTATTCGAAGGATAACTCGAAATTGTGTTCCGAAACAATCGACCATTCGATATGGCTTGCTATATTCGACAGAGTTAATAATTGCGACCATCATCTTTCCTTTAATAAGACTGACGTATAATAGCTTCAACATAATTTGTTATACTATTATACAAATGCAAATTCTTAGTTTCTAAATATTATCCACGGCACACGGGAAAAGATACTCTCTCAATATTGTCGAGCAATGGCATTAACTCGGTGATCGCAATGTCAAATTAATATCTGGAAGGAAGCCACGTTCATTCCCTAAAAACAATCCATGCCGAGTAAGACTTTATACGTAGACCCTCTGCCTAATTCCTCCAGAGACCACCCCAATATCCGTTGACCTTACTCATGACATGCACATAGAGGTCACGACGCGGATAAATCAATTATCTCGCTAAACTTAATTCGAAACCTTCGTTACCCCGAAGTCCCAAAAGCTTGCTCACCCTCAGAAGTTCAGTAAAACTGAAAGAACTTCTAAAAACCACGTCCCGGTTACACGCCCATGTTCACTATCCCCTAACAGTCGTTAAAGGCCTACTCCGCAAGCCCCTCGAACCACATACCTTAGTGTCGCGGCTCTTCATCTCCTGCCTCCTAGGCACAATGCTGTCCCCATCGGCGTAAACAAGATTCCTGATGAGCCCCTTGAACCTGGGTTCAAAAATCACACTGGGCAGCGCGAGCAACGTAAGCTTGCTGTTGTACCAGCTAGGCATGCCGCCGACGTAAACATCGGAATTGCCCGCAAGCTTCCCGAATTCGAATTCCTTTCCCCGCGACGTGGACACCGCGCTGACACCGTCCACGGTCAGCGTAGTATTCTCGTTGCACCTGGTGATCTGGACTTTGTGCCAGTGACCGTCGCCTAAGTCATGGCCGACGGTGACAATTTGCGCGCCTCCGCCAAGATTGTACCTCAACCTCAAAGCGCTTTCAACCAGCTTCACCTCGAAGAAATCGTATGTGCCCCCGTCATCCGTGTAGAGCAACAGACCGTTTCCTTGATCAGTTTTGAACTCGAACTCCAGCGTGCCATTCAGGCCAGCATTCCACTTTCTAAACTGAGCGTAGCTGGTTGCCGAACCCTCCAGCACAAACGACAAAGCGACTTGGCCTAGCAGCACCACCAGGAACGGCAGCAGCGCAGCCACGCCGGTGCTCATCAGCGACGAATGCATGATTATGCTGTCTATCAGTCTAGATTACTGCTAAATCCTTGGCATCAGATTATTCAGCGGCGCGGATCCAACAGCTACGACACTTCACTCGAACTGTTCCTGATCCTCTTCCTTCGTCACATTACACTGTAGGCTAATCCTTTGGTGGATGACGACCGCTCGCCTTTGCTGGACACGGTATTGAGCCTCTATTCGAGGGTATCTAGCTGGGCTCCGTTATGAACCCGCTTCGCCAGCCACGTTGTGCCGGCTACGCTCGCACGTGAGCACGCACGCGCGGACCGTCTCTGCTGCGTGCGTAGACGACGACTATGGAAAGAGAGAGTGACCGTGCACACGTACGCGGAAAATTGTGCAGGAATTGGTTCCCCGTGAAATATCCAGCCCCGTGTATGCTTTCGTTTATTATGTAACGGTGATTCAGAAGGTTGCGGAGGAAGTTTAATCGAGCAAATGGAAATAGAGTCTAGGGATGTGTGAATGAAGATTATATATACCGGAGTAATTCAGGGATTAACTTTAGTCGAGCGAGGTACCCTTCACGGGGATGGTAAGATATGTTTAGCACGTGACACCGTTGGACCGCACGTCTCACTTTCTAGCTTCAATGCGCTTGGATTACACTTTTTATGTGTTATCTGTATTTCCTGAGAACCACTTCACGAATCACGTTGTCCACGATTGGATCCTCAAGCATCTACCATGTGCGAATTGACACTAGAATTGCGGTTGGCGAACTCACTCCGTAACCAGATCGATGAAACCTTACTGGGAAGATTTTTGTCTGCCCGATCGACGTGCAGCCCGTGTCTCCTATTAATCATATTCGGCGCATGACGGAATTTTCGACTCCTTCCGCTCGTATCTTTCCCTTGTCAAGAGTCTTCTCCAAAATCCGAAATATTTATTCTGTGAAGCTCAACGGATTCGACACGTCCGTTTAACTCGAAGTATATACGTTTCTTCAATCGAACGTTTCAAAACGAATCGTTCAGCAAAACGAGGAAAAGTCCGAATTCGATCCAAAAGGGGGAGCCTTGTTGTTCCACCGTCACTCTCCAGGTATTCCAGCAGCGACCTAACCTAAATCACCTCGAGGCGCTTCGCACCACGTCGGTGACACACTTTCTCCGTCTGTCCTCTCACCCTCTCTGTTCCAACAGTACCGTCTCCTCAAGTGTGTATCTCGACCCTCACTGTGTCTCTATCCCACAGGGTCCATCCGATTCACTCGGCAGCACGCTAGTTATCCTGTCCCCGCGGCCAGGAAGAGTCAGCAATCACGGGTGAATCGGATCCAGTCAGGGTCGCCGTCGACCTCGATGACGAAAGAGGCTCGACCGACCTCGATCCGCCGCTCGGTATTCATAAATTCTTGAGGGATATCGGCGCGCGTGTCACGGCGTGCACGCGACACGACCTCGACCCTCTAATGCACGGGAAGAAGCACTTTCACCACGCACCTTCGCTGGACTCGATCTACTCGCGCCACGATCATTCGAATCGACTGGGTATGCGGACGGGGGGTTGCGACGCGAACAGGGTGGTCGAACGGGAGAGACGGTTTTCAACGCGCGAGCAGATCGGTCCTCCGACACGCAGCACTGACACTAAAGCTCCCTGGCTGACCGCGACCGACTAGGTTCTCCGTCCCCGTTTGCAAGAGAGGACACGTTGGCGAGGGTTATCCGATCGGGGACACCGTTTTCACACAGCACTGACGTACCAAACTCGGCTATGGCTACGACGAAACGCGGACGATTTCGTTTTGTAACCTCTTTCGCTGGAGTATCCGGTGAAAAGGGGTTACTCCGAGTCGTCCATCCAGCGTACGTTTATTTCGCGATCGATCCGCCTCTCGTGGCTCGGCGTACGCCCCATTTTTTCTCATCCGACTGCCGAGTTCCACTGGCAGCCACTGCACTTGAACGCCGAGCAGCAACCACCGTTCTACTACAGCCCTGATGATCCTTTCTGTCTGCGTGTGCGTGCGTCTGCCCGGTTTCCTCCGGTGATAAGGGGCCTGCTGAGTACGCTTCCCGTGGTGACCGATTCCAGAGGTGGATCAAACCCTCTCGACGGCTCCCGGCTTGATACTGGCCTGGCCGAGAGGAGAACGCTCGGTCGAGACGGTCGGTCAGACACGGCCGACAACGTTGGTGCGACGCCCCCGGCACGACGCCGACGCCTCGCGCCGTTTGCTGCGCGCACGCGCCCGCCTCGCTCGTGCAGACCGAGAACGATACACACGCATACGTGGCTGGAAAGAGGGAACGGGATCGGATAGTCGAACGATTCCGATGGAAGAGGACCGACAGCCCCGACAGGATGCGGCGGACGGATTCATCCCCTACTTTCCGAGCGGAGTCCGGACCGTTCGGGGGCGAACTGTATAGGTGGAGTAGAAATGCGGAACTGCCGGTGTACGGTCATGTAGATTGTTTCGACGGTACCTTCGGGCGCCGGGGTATGCTGCCCGCGGGATCATCGCGATGAAGAATTACCGGCTGACTGACTGCTCGATGAATTGCGTTCGTTGCATTGGGAGAATGTTTAGGTTGGCCACTTTTTGACGGTGCATGTCGATGGCCTTTTTGGAGCGAATAGTGACGCATAACTTCTTGGATTTGTTTAGGGAAATACTGACTCACGATGATTTCTAGGAGTTATTTATTGTTAGGCAAACGCTGGACGATGATGATATTCTGGATCTACTTGGGTGAACGATAGCTAATGGTGGCTTCTTGAATGTACTTAGGTAGCTGATAGCTAATGATGATTTCTTGGATGTACTTGGAATTAGGTGAACGGTGAATAATGATGATTTTCTGAATCTATTTGAAGGACGGTGAATGGTGATGGCTTCTTGGATTTACTCAAGTCAACTGAATTTACTTAGGTAGATGGTGATGACTTTCTCAATCTACTTGAACAAATAGTAACGCATTATGGCTTCTTAGATTTACTTACTATTAAGCGACCGGTGGATAATAATAATTTTCATTATCTACTTGGAGGAACGGTAACGAATGACGGATTTCTGAATCTACTTGGGCAACTGGTGGCTAATGATGACTTCTTAGATGTACTTAGAATTAAGCTAACGGTGTATGATGTTAAATTCCTGAATCTACTTGGGTGAACGGTGGATAATGATGGCTCTTTGGATCTATCCAACACGTTCTCTACCACGCTTATTTTAGGAGACTTGTTTACAGCATTTGTATCCTTACTGGTAGTCTATCATGTCGTTTTTTCACGTAAATGATAAACTCAGTGTCAGTCTGAGTTACGACTGAGTTAAGTTATTGCTGACAGTCAGTGTCAGTCACCATAAAGAGACGCAGAGCGAACGTGGCAGTAAACATTTTAAGCAAACGGTGACTGATGATCGGTTTGGGTGATTAAGATTCGTGTTTATTATTAGCAATAATTATTTTATTTTGTAAAGTCCTCAATCATAATTGTGTTCTAGATTAAAATGTTTACTGTCCATTGGTGGAATAGAATTTACCAAAAGAATCGTGAAAATTCACTTAAAACCCTTATTTACAAAGTGTCGATTTATGGAACAAGGAACTAAAACTTCTAGGTACACCTCTAATGCCCCTTGAAGTATGCTTCAAATTTATTGCGTCCGTTGTACCGTTGTATCGACTTCTCGAGTGTATCTAGAGTTCTGATGCGTCGATGCCCAGCATGCCTTAAATTCTTCTGCACCGATATCGAGCGCCCCTTGAATTCTGATCTTTGTTGTGAGAACTACCGTAACGTAAATTCTGATTTCCTGCCGAGATCCTTCAAAGTTCTGAAAGAAAAAACATTGCGACGAACAATAATAGAGAGGAGCAGTCGTTGCTTTCAGTATTATACGTTATGGTCCTGTTATAATAACATGTATGATTTATTTTTAATCGTTACTGATTATGAAAGTAAAATTCACATTTTTATATTATCTGTAACTAAAGAAGCTTTCAAGTAGTTGTACGTTATTTTATTAAAAAAAATCTCTTGAAGACAAATTTTGTATTTTCTTACCTTGCTGTCTTTTCCTTTTGTTTTCTGTACTTTCTTAATTGTTTATTACTAAACTATGTAAATTATGTAAACTGTGTGGAAATTAATGAATATAAAATAATTCTAACTTAACGCACTTTTATTCAAGTGTTAACTATTATCGTTAGAAAAGAAATAAATAAAACTCAAAAGTGATAGTTTCAGAATTGGTTGCGGTATCAGTGAAACGCGAAGTGGAAGAAGCCAGATGTTTGTAAGTGAAACCAACCGCTACACTCAGATTTTAAGTACGGTCGGTGGACAAGATATAGCGAACTCGTAAAGTTTTTTTCGGTAACCGCAAGGAACTTTTTTACAGCACGGAACAACCCGAAGATCTTGGACTTGGCACAGAGCCGTAGAAGTGTCACAACTCGAATTCAGTTTCCCTTCAGATCCCGTGAAAAATCAGGATTTGGAAAACGAAATACTATAAATAATCCTTAAAACATTTAAAATTAATATATAATTTAATCTCATGACCATGTAATAAAAATAAGAACTACAACTTCAGGGAAACAAATAAAATGAATAATTGTAATAATAATACGTTTTTAAGAAAACAGAAATAATTATAAAACAATAGGTATAAAATACAAGTAATACACAATTGACACAAAAGTAAAATCAAAATTGCAATTAGAAGTGTCAAGTTTCAGTAGATAAATAGCACTGTTATTAAATTTAACCTAAAAATAAGATACTTAAAATTTATTTGTTCTATTATAGCAGCTATTACCTTAAAACTGTTTTAATTCAATTATTTTATGTAGTATTTAACCCCTTAACGCACAGTTTTTTTGAAAAAAACCGGCCAATAAAATCAATTTTGATATACTGCGCTTTTGTTCCATGGAAAAAGGCTATATTTTATTCTTGAATAAATAAGTGTTATAGCTTACAATTGCATGTAAATGATAAATATCAATAAAACGATTTTTTTTCTTTGCTTTCACATTGTTATTTTCAATTCTCGATTATATTCGAGTGTGAAAAATTATAGCGAATTAACTCGAGCGTACAAGTTAAGGGGTTAATTGTATCAAATTTCCAAACATCAATCAATTTTGATATGTAGTATTAAAATCTGGGCAATTTAGCAAAGGTAGTACACATGTTACAATGTCTATATTAATATCGCTTTATAGAATTACTCTATCAAAATTCCATCCAGCGGTTTCAATAACGCTGATACAGGTTGATAATGGTATCTGTTCACAGTTGAGTAGCGACAGGATCATATGCATCGTGGGTACTATCAAGAATTGATAACGTATGCTTGTGTTTCGATGAGTGCTCTAAAAAACAATAACTCTCATAAAATAATTGATGATGTATAATGTATTATATAAATAATACATAATATATAATATATAATAAATAATATATAATATACGCTTATACTATAAATATGATAATACTTTATATAGACTTTTATTAAGTTTTACGTATATTTTCAAAGCCTAAAAATTGTTAATTACAATTTCATTGCTTCTCTTACTGCTGCACTGCATATTTTTACGCTGCGTCCTACTTTCATACTAAAATCTTTCTACGCTAACTCTTTTAGTAAATCAAACCAAACCCGAAACTTTAAACTTCTCAAACTTCACGAAGCCTCATATTTTAAATATCTGAAAAACTTTTATTTACTTCAAATTATCTAAAAAAATCGACAACTTACAAATTACATATAACACGTTCCCAAAGAGAAAGTCCAACAGACCAGTCGCTACGATCTTCTCAATCACTGCATTTATATTTCCTCCATTCGAAAAGATTTTTCAACTCCCCTAACCACGAAGATCAACTGACAACCAATTGAGTAGCCTAATAAACTCACCCGAACCCAGTAACCACCAAGATCATGTTAACCCGTTCAGACCCGGCGGAAATTACAACGTACACTAATTTATTACTTCAATATTTGACAAAATATAAAAACTGTGACAGGGAACCATCTATACACCTTTACTCTGAGCCTGTTCCCATCAGAAAAGTAGTATACTACTATTTTATTCAAAATATTGTCGTTACTGATGGTGCGTTCAATGGCGGTTCATTGTTATTAGACATATGCACATACTTTCCTATAAAAATCAGGTCTAAAAGGATTAATCCATAGATAGAATGCTTGACAAACGATGAGGGAAACATTGGAAGATCCTTGATCGACCGGTGAAAACGACGGGACCGAGATATACGGGTTAGACACGAGGTGGTAAAGTAGCGCGGCCGAGCGAGTTAGGGGTTGAAAAAGACACGGAAGAGGGAAAAGATGGAGGGGAGGGTGGTAGCCTGTGGAGCGTCGAGAGTAACACGAACCAAACGTCCAAACGGTAAGCTGCTAGACAGAGCTAGAGGAGACCGCAGAAGTACCGTACAAAGGTGGTTCCCAGGATGGTCTGGCCAAGTAGAAGGATGGTAGGTGTCTGCTGGAAAGTAGAAAGCAGCGGGCACTACCACGAGCGCGGCGGACAGTGCTGAGAAAGCATGGCAGAAGCCCGTGAAAAGCACCGATCCGCAAGAACGATACAACACGAACGGCCAAGATGGCTAACGTCGTTCCTGCCTTCTTCTTCCCTTCGTCTGCCACCCTCCCTTCCACCGCGGCCTCTCATGGCCGCCCTTCCTTACACTCTTCAGTCTTTTATGGCCGCGTAGTGGCTTTACCCTAGGAAAGAGGATCGAGTGTTGGAGTAAAGACTATTTGCCGAGACATCGTTGTCATTGGTCGTCAAGGATCGGGTGTCAATTAGAGGAGTTCGAGACAGAGCATTAATTAATCGAACGAAACGTTAAAAGGCAGACACCTCTTGTCTCGTAGGATACGGTTGGCGAAGGACGTCCCGATTTGAGTGTTGGACCCTTAAACCTTGAAGGGTCTCTTGCTTTTCGGGGTGGGAGGAATTGAATTTTTTAATGAGTTTGAAGTGAAACTGTATCCTTGAAATTACTTTGTCATTTGGATTGTAGGGTTGTAGGGTAAGAAAGGTGAGAACTTTCGGGTTTGGTGTTGTTAATGGTGCATAGGTTTGGAGAATTACAATGCATTGAATGTGAATGTAATGTATGGGGAAACTCAATT